TAAGTATAAATTCATATAAAAATTGAGATAATGAACTCTAAATCATCATACTAGTATATCCTTCTAGCGACTGAAACAACTCTTTTTCTTTCACACATACATAGCTAACGTTCATTCCAATATAATATTGTATTTAATGTATGTATCACTTTATCACACAAGTCACTATATAGAAGAACATTTTCTATTTAATAAGATGCATGAGGATGAAAAGGCAAAAAGAAAATATCAAATACTTTTGAAATATAATTACAGAAGCAGAAAGTCATATCGCATCAATATCATAAACAAGTCCGTAAATATTCTCCAAGTTTTCAACATACTCTCCTTGTGAAAGCTTGAAAATATTCTTCTTGCAATAAATGATTTTCAAGCTTCCATCTGGTTGCCACTCACTAACATCTCGTGATGCAAAGATAATTTTAGGCAAAGTTGAATGTTTTCTAGTCAATGATATGAGAGCCATACTATACTACAAAATACATCAATATGGACAAACCTGTATGGAACCACCCATTGATCATGACATCTTTGGTGAGGTCTTCACGTTTATAGTACCATGAAAACAAAATGTTTCCCCTTACACATATTTTTCCATGAGGTATGTCTAAAAAAGCATCGTATCCAATTTCAAGAACCAATTCTAGGCATACATCCACACTTGGAACTGGAGGACCGTCGTGCCAAGCATTACCAGTTCATTTGGCAGTGACACAAACGTACCAGCACAAGTTTCTGTCAAACATGTAGAAAAAAAAATTAAATGGATAATGCTATAAATGTAAAAGTAATGCAGAAAGATTCAACAAAGCCATTGAGAAAATGAAGACTATATTTTATAACCCTGTGAAAATAACTGCTAAATATAGCTTACTATATCCTTGTAGAACATGAGCACATGCCACCACTCGTAAGAAAGCTTTTACATTAATAGAAAAAGGAACAGTTCTAGACAGAATAAGCCGCACCCTACCGCCCCACCCTTACTTACCTAAAGTTGTCAGAACATAAATAAGACTCAATAGAGTAAGCAGAACAGGGTTACAATTGTGATTCGGAGTAATGGAGTATCTCCATAAGGTAAGAAAAATAAATATTTCACCACCTTACTAAACACAATTCTATTAGCAATTGGAGAAGCATACCATGTGCATGCCCATTTTGCATGTTATGATACTTGATGCCGAAAAAGAGAAACATAAGACATTGTAATAATCACTATCTTGTTATCTACCGGCATTAAGAGCATACGTATCTTATCTCTAATTGGAGCCTAAATATCAAGTGTAGGGGTAGGGGTAACGAAATTGGTAGCAAATCCATGAAAATGCCCAACAAACAAACAAATAAGATATTTTAGGGAAAAGAAATAGTTATCCACATGCAAGTATAATATATCTTGTTTACAAAGTAATAAGTAGATGGGCATAAGGGATATGATCAAACACATATTCAAGCTTGTTTTCTCAATAAACATGTGCATAAATTCAATAGTGGGTTTTGTAAAGCTTTATCCACTTTGGAATATTGCTGCTAAACTCACAAATATGGGTTGAGAACTTGCAGAGGAAAGCAGAAAATTGGAAGCCAAATTAAGAATTATATCATAGTATGTTTATGTTTATTGTTATTTGCATACACTACAACACAAAAGTGATAATGTAAGGAAAAAATTTCCTCACAATAGGCAAAATTGCATCGCACTTATTTGTAAATGACTCATTTTTGTCGTCACATTACCCCCCTCACTAGGAATCAAATGTGACGACTCAAAGTAAGAATCACATATAGTATATTGTGATAATATATGAATGTGCGATCCTTGACAATTGAGGCGGTCAATGCTATATTAAGAAGTATGTGGCTTGATTTTTTAGATCTCATTCACATATTAGTTTAAGTACTTCTCAACGTTCTTACTAACGGTGGAAGTGCGAGCGGTGGAGCTCGAGAGTGATTCTTTGGGTCTTCTTCTTCTTTTTTTTTCTTTTAATTTTGTGAGAGATTCTCACATTTAATATTTGTGACGCCTTAAACTTTATATGTGACACTACATGCGTCACAAATGATTGTTGCTCTTTCACACCCAAAACCGCGATGCTATTTGTGAGGAATTTAGTTTTCCTCCGAAATTGCTGGTCTCTTTATCGTCTTATAAGTGATGACCAAATAAATTCCTCACTGATACCCAGTAATTGTAGCACATTTACATGCCTCACTTTTTTTTTCGTCACATTAGTCATTTTTTTCTTGTAGTGAAACCTGTATCCAAATAGACAACACCTAATTGCAATGATCATTAAGTTTTCACTTATCTAACTACAATTATATTAAGCAAAACTAAATTTAATGAAGATTAACTGCATAAAGCCCCAAAATGGGATAGTTAAACCATGTTATTTGACAAGCAAAGTCACTCAATATTTTTCTTTTGTCAAGAGATCAAGAAATTAACAATGGGTTTTGATAATAAAAGCTTTGTTGTATGTTCTTTGTTAATAATGTTCCTAGGAACCCAAAGTAAGAGGCAATGTTGGAAGAAACCACATCTCTATCCTCATCCCTTGCTGCAACATTAACATTGTTCGAGTAAAATCGTGCAAATGTTGTTCAATCATTTAAGCAATTGATGAAATAGTATAATCGAGTTTACTCGAGCGATGAAGAGAAAGAGTGGTGTTTCTACAACTTCAATAAGTTGATCGACATTGTGGAGAACTTCATGAATGGGCAAAAAAAAAAAGTATACTGTGAGGCTGAACCTGTTTGCTAATATGTACAAAGATGAAATGGAAGCTTTCCATTGCAAAGTACCATGGAATTCGGATCAGAGTAAGTAGGAACCATTTTGGTGGGAGTATATAAATTTGATAAAGACATTAAATACAGTAGGGAACCAGATCAATTGATGATATTCATGAGAAATGTATGCCACTATTTTAAACAACATAAGCAGTCTTTGACAATTAAGGTGGTCGATGTTGTATTAAGAAGTTTGTGGCCTGATTTTTTAGATATCATTCACATATTAGTTTAAGCACTTCTCAAGGTTTTTACTAATGGTGGAAGTGCGAGTGGTGGAGCTCGAGAGCAATTCTTTGGGTATTATTCCCCTTTTTTTCTTTAATTTTGCAAGGGATTCTCGCATTTAATATTTGTGACGCTTTAAACTTTATATGTGACATCACACACGTCACAAATGATTTTCGCTCTTTCACACCCAAAACGACGATGCTAGTTGTGAGGAATTTGGTTTTCCTCCGAAACTACTCGTCTCTTTATCGCATTATAAGTGACAACCAAATAAATTTCTCCCATATACCCAGTAAATGTAGCACATTTAGATGCTCCGCTTTTGTTTTTAGTCACATTAGTCATTTTTTCTTGTAGTGATATCTAAATAGCCAACACGTAGTTGTATGCAACTGCATTTAGCAAAACTAAATTTAATGAAGATTAACTGCATAAAACTCCAAAATAGGATAGTTAAATCATGTTATTTGACAAGCAAGGCCACTTAGTATTTTTATTTTGTCAAGAGATCAATAAATTACCAATGAGTTTTGATAAGAAAAACTTTGTCGTATGTTCTTTGTTAATAATGTTCTTAGGAACTCAAAGTAAGAGGCAATGTTTAAAGAAGCCACATCCCTATCCTCATCCCCTGCTGCAACATTGATATTGTTAGAGTAAAATCGTGCAAATGTTGCTAAATCATTTAAGAAATTAATGAAATAGTATAATTGAGTTTACCTGAGCGATGAAGAGAAAGAGCGGTGTTTCTACAACTTTAAGAAGTTGATGGACTTTGTGGAGAACTTCATGAATGGGCAAAAAAATAGTATACTGTGAGGCTGAACCTGTTCGCTGATATGTACAAAGATGAAATGGAAGCTTTCCATTGCAAAGTACCCATCATGGAATTCAGATCAGAGTAAGTGGGAACCATTTCTGGTGGGAGTACATAAATTTAATAAAGACATTAAATACTGTAGGGAACCAGATCAACTGCTGAGATTCATGAGAAATGTATGCCACCATTTTAAACAGCATAAGCAGTTCTTGACAATTGAGGTGGTCAATGTTATATTAAGAAGTCTGTGGCCTGATTTTTTAGATCTCATTCACATATTAGTTTAAGTACTTCTCGTGGTTCTTACTCATCGTGGAAGTGCGAGCATAGAGCTCAAGAGCTATTCTTTGGGTTTTGTTTCTCTTTTTTTCTTTTAATACTTATGGCAATTGTATCTGTGTGACGATGACACTTACTGTAAATTATGAAATATTTGATAAAATAAATAACCAGGTGTAAAGTTCTAAGAAGATGATCCAATATAAATCATTAAATGTGGTTTTTTTCTCCAATTGAGCATATGTGAATGCGAATGTGATATACAAGAAACTCATTCATCTAACTTTTAACCGACTTGTGATTTATGACATAGTTTATAAATTGATATATTCGCATCCACTTGATAAATTTCACAATTAACAATAGTTCCATTTGATAAACCACCATTCTCATCTTGTTGACAAAAAAAAAGTAATATAAAGGCTCAAATTATAAAAATACCCTACATGAAATGGACTTTAGAAACACACCTAAAGCCTATTTACAACATAACAAAAAAGCTTTTAACTTCTTATAAATTACAAAACTGTCATCAATTTCTTAAACAAGCCTAACTCCAAAATCTTATAAAAAGCCCAAAACACTTAATAAGGCATCAAAGTAATTTAATAATCAAAATTAAATTAAATAGAGCCAACTGTTATTTTTGGGTTTGTTTATAGAAATTAAATAGTGTAGGGTTTATTTATATTTTTTGTGCTAAGAATGGGTATATTACTAAATATTTCAACAACAACAACAAAAAAAACAACAAAAACAAAAACCTAGCATTATATATCTCCTTTGCCAAATTTGCAATGCACCCCAATTCCAAACTCAATTTGACCAAAAACACTACCACCAAAAAAAGACCAAAAGCCCAAAACAAATGAGAGGCGACCATAGGCAACATGAATTAAACCGAGTGGATATGAGCAAACCTAGGTCAAATTGGAGAGAGAAATATAGAGAAAAAGAAAAGGTATGTGCACTAGTGTTCGTGGGGTTGGGGTGATAGAGAAAGAGAGTTTAAATACACATGGTGAGTGTAAATACACGTGAAACTATATTATTGGATATGTGGGCTCTATGTATATGCCATATCAACAAAACATTTTTTTACGAAAACTCATGGCGCAGACTACTTGCGAGCACACATATTAACATTGAAGACCACGAATGACAAAAAAAACGAAATCTGATAGTTTCGTAAACCTCATATTCATTTTGTGATAAATAAATAAAAAAACCTAATATTATAACAAATTCATCGTTTTAGTCCTTAAACTTTCACATAAATTAATGTAATCTTTAATTTTTTTTAATCTACACATTAATTTGATCCTTCTCGTCACATTCCTCATAATATTCACTAAAGTTGGTCACATCATCTGAGCCTTTCATTATCTATTAAAATATAGATTATTGAATCCAAATGAACTAATTGCTCAAGTGGGCAGCTCTGTTTTATACAAATATTATAACAAAAAATAAAGCAAGTTAAGGTCGGGTTGGATTCGAGGGAACTTTTACCGAATTTTAACCAGCCCAATCAGGGTTGGTTCCAGCGGGTTGGATTTGCCCAACCGAGTTGCACTGCTCCTTCAATCTCCCACAACCCGCACGTGACTAATGATAGACTAATCACGTGACCCCCTTCTTCAGCTTCCATCACACACAAAGACACACTCTCTCTCTGGCTGTCTCTTTTCACAGATTCAGTTCAGTATTCACTCGGTCACTAGTCACCTTTTCCTCAGCTGTTGCAGCAGCACTCCCCCAAGTCCCGTGTCGTTTCTTGTCTCTCCATTTTCCAAGCTTTCAGAGCTTTCACATTTTCCTTCCATGAACACAAATTACTGTTAATCCACCCACAACACTCAAAATGGGCTGCTTACACTCCAAAACCACTCACCTCCACTTCTCCCCTGACGACCCATCTTCTCTACCCGACACTCACAAACCGACCCAGGTCTCTCTCTCTCTCTCTCTCTCTCGGGTCTGCATTTTATTTTTTATGACATTGATTTTGATGGGTTTTCTTTTTCTTTTTTTTTGGGTTTTGCTTTGAAGCTATGGAGATCAAGCTGAGCTAGAGGCCCAAGCCCCTATGTTCAAAGAGTACAGTCTAGACGAGCTACGAAAGGCCACCAATGGGTTCAGCTCCGAATGCATTGTTTCCGAGAGTGGTGAAAAAGCTCCCAATGTCGTTTACAGAGGAAAACTTGATAACAATCGCCTTGTCGCTGTTAAACGCTTCTCCAAGCAGTCTTGGCCCGACGCCCAACAGTTTGTGGTGAGTTTTGATTCCTGAGAAAATGATGGAAAAGGAAAGTAGCTATTGGGAAATAATAAATAATAAAAAATGCATATTCTGTGTATGTCTTGTTTGGTTGCTAAAGAAGATGATAGAAATGTAAGAAATCCTTTGGGTTTAGAGCATTGACAGACATAATAGATTTTTCTTTCGGCTTCATAGAAGTGAGCATTCTTATACTTTAAAAAAAATTCTAACAGAGTATTTATAATGCTTGTTTTTCTTCTGGGGTTTTCATTTGGGGCTGCTGATTTATCTGGTGATGCTGAGAAAAATGGAAGACAAAAAGGAAATGTAAAATGTTGGGTCTTGGATTTTTCAACAATTTAGCAGGATAGTTAATTTTTATATTTGTTTAATAATTTTTCCTTCGATGGAGGAGCGTTTGGCATTATTGAGGAATTGAGTTTGATGTTAATGAATATGATTGAGCAGGTTGAGGCTGTGGGAGTGGGGAAGTTGAGGCACAAGAGATTAGTGAATCTGGTTGGTTGCTGTGCTGAGGGAGATGAACGGCTCTTGGTGGCTGAGTATATGCCCAATGATACTCTTTCCAAGCATCTCTTTCATTGTACTGCCAGTCAATCCTTTCTTGTTTCTTTTATATTTCTTTTGGTGCATACTATTGACTTTGTAATTAACCATCCTTTTCCTGTTTGCTTTTTCCAACACGTTTTGTGCACTAGGATTAACTTTTGCTTTTCTCCAACACTTTTTGTGTACCTTTAAGATAAACTCCTCTCCTACGTCCCTTTTTCTGATGAAATGTGTACAATTAAAAGGTTAGGTGGACTACCATCATTTAAAGTCCAAAAGAACAAAGCTTATTAGGACATATACCGTTTCCCGAGTCTAATCTGTTAGGAAAACCCCTTAATTTTAGTTGACTACTGTTTGCTTAGTGCAATTAAAATTGTTGATGCTTCCTGTGTATATTTATCACTTCATACTTGTCACTTTTTCGTGATATACATGCTCCAAAAACTACGTTGCACAGGCAGGGTTATTTTTTCTTTGCTTAACGACTACTTATGGGTTCTTATAGGGGACAAGAAGCCATTGCCATGGGAAATGCGTGTTAGAGTTGCATACTATATTGCACAGGCACTGGATCATTGTAATATCGAGAACCGGAAGATCTATCATGATTTAAATGCATACAGAGTTCTTTTTGATGAGGTATGCGTATGATTGTGTGATGAAGAGTACAGTTTTTGTTCGGGGGTTTACAACTGTCATTCCTATGCTTCAGATTATTCCAATTGGATGCAGTAGACTTTTGGGTTTGCATGTCAAAGTTCATCTTGGTTGTTGTTGTATGCATATGTTGCTACTTGCCGATCTGTCAAATCTTTCAATTTTTGCCATGATTTTCTGCTTTGGTGGCTATTTAGTTTATCACTCATCTTGGTAAACTTAACTGCACTGTTTGCTAACTTTGCCAAATATAGCTTTATCCATAAATGGTTGAGGTGTCCACATTCCCAGAACTCAAACCAATACACTATATTTACCAATTTATCCACATTTTGTTGTGCAATTCATTTATGCCATATTGGAAATCATATTAAAGCATTGTGTTGAATTGTATACCATATAAGGTGGGGTGTTCCTGTATAGTCTTTCTAAACTGCATAAAGAAGTTTGAGAATGGTCCAAAAGTTAGCTTACTTCATTTCTGTATATGTAATAAATTTACCGGGACTTGCCAAGAAAGAAAGAGGAAAAATAACCAGGCATTTTCCAACTATTTGAAATGTACTGCATTAGTTTCTTATTCCATTCCTTGTTGGCTCAATTTGCCCATTTCTATTAAGGTGTGCCAATGTTTCGCTAACATTGATCCAATGTAAAAATTCCTTTTGTTTTCATAGTATGGAAATTCTCTATTCTTGTTTTTTATTATTGCTATCTTAACATCTTATTATTGCATTCAGTAATAGACTGTCTCTGAAATGACTGACTGCTAGTCCTTTTCCTTTGTATATAAATACATATGAGTATCACTTTAGTGGACATGTTTTAGGTTTGGACATATTCTATAAATCATACTACAAGGTTCTGTAAAATTTTTGTGATTAGATTATAACTGACTTATGAACTTGTGTCAGGATGGTGACCCTCGTTTGTCTACCTTTGGCCTTATGAAAAATAGTCGAGATGGAAAAGCTACAGTACAAATTTAGCTTATACTCCACCTGAGTTTCTACGTACAGGTAAATTACTTAACAAAAAGTCCTACGCATGACAAAAAAGCTTTTGTAGGTTATCTTTTGCATCATATCGAAATAGCAAAATATTGTAATGAAGGTAGAGCAAAAAGGGTTTTCTTTTCTATTTTTGGTAAGTGAACTTTGGCCCATGTTGCGTTTCGGCACCTGAATTATAATTTGTCCCAATTTAGTACCTAAATTAATTTCTTTTCCAATAAGTAAGAAATCAAACTTCCATTAGAATGATTAACAGATCTCAGGGGAAAGTTTGTCACTTCACAGAGGCCCTACCCACACTTAACCCTCCACACACAATTTTGCTTCCATAAAGAAACAAATTGCCCTTGAGATATGTTTGTCATTCTAACAGAAGTTTGTTTTGGTACTTGTTAGATGCAAAACTAACTTGCATACTAAACAGGGACAAATTATACTGTTGATATTGAATTGGGACACAAACAGAAGTTCAGGTAACAAAATTTAAAAACAAAAAACAAAAAATAAACCCTTCATATTATAAAGTGGTAACAAAAACACTCTACATTGATTAGATCTTCTCATAGTCAGGCTGCTTGGATATCATGTGATAAATTATCATGCTTAGATTGCAAGATTTTTCACTCATATTACTGAGAATTATGCTGGACTAAGAAACATAATAATTTTTGTGCATCAATGCACACCAACTTTGAGTGTGTTATGTTCTTTTCGAAGTACGGATTAATGGAATAGTACATAACTCTTGGAAGCATTTTTCTTGTTTACAAGTCCTGATATTTGAGCATCAAGTTAGTGTCTCAGTATCGTCCCATGGTGGTGTTATAGTTTAGCCAGATTTGGTTGATAACTTAATATCATTGGAGATATGAAAACTGGTTTTCAGCGTATTTGATTAGTGTCAAACTTTGCAGGCAGGGTCATTCCAGAGAGTGTAATCTACAGTTATGGAACTGTCCTGTTGGACCTTTTGAGTGGCAAGCATATTCCTCCAAGCCATGTACGTGGACTTACCTCCCATGAACCTTTACATTGTACTCCTCGTGTGATTTTCAGGAAATTTTTTATTTCTTCTGTAAATCCGTTGACATTTCTACTGCATAGGCTGTAGATTCTGTACTGCCGTTCTGCAAATATTTTTTTGGTGATGATCTCAGGATTCCAAATGTAGCTTCTTACATAATGTTTTAGGATCCTTCTGCTTGTTTCATTAGCATTCTGTAAAACTTTAATGTTTTTTGAATGTTTTGTTTTCACTGTATTCAGTATGTATCTTGGTTGTACACTTGGTTTATAATTTTGATATGTTTGGTATCATTGACGTCTTAAATTCAACAAGAAAGTGAGAATTTGACTTTACAAACAGTTTATGTTCAGTAAGTCTACTTGAAACCACTACTTTTAGGTTCAGTATTTTGCCGTCGTTTGTGATTCTTCCTCAGCTCAATTTGCATTAATTTCAAGGTCTTTTGGGTATGCAAAGTTGGGAAATGGTTCTGTTTAGCTTAATTAATTGATGTGAGATTACATTTGAAGATACAAAAATTGTTTAAGTGATTATTGTATCTCCAGGCACTGGACTTGATAAGGGAAAAGAATGTATTGTTGTTGATGGATTCATCATTGGAAGGGCAGTATGTGAATGATGATGCTACTAAATTGGTTGAACTTGCTTCCAAATGTCTTCAGTCTGAGGCTAGGGATAGAGGAGATATTAAGCTTCTTCTTACAGTCGTTGCACCACTTCAAAAGCAGAAGAGGTGATATATCGTGTTATCCTCAGATCATGAAATTGCTATTTCTTTGTTTATTCTCAGAAAGAGGTGATAACATATTCTTTTTTCCGTCCTGATTTGTTCTGATTGCTTGTATGGTTTGTTTATTAAGGCGGCATCTCATGTTCTAATGGGCCTTCCTAGAAATACTGTTGTGGTTCCAACCATGCTTTCTCCTCTTGGAAAGGCTTGTGCAAGGATGGATCTTACTGCTGTGCATGATATTTTGCTAAAAACAGGCTATAAAGATGAAGAAGGTGCAGAAAATGAGGTACGCTGAATTGCCTATTATACGTGCACTTATGACTCGACGGTTAGAAACAGAGTTCTTAAATATCTATACACAACATTATTTAGATAAATAGACCTTAAATTGTAATGCATGGGTTTTCCCAATATTGCAAATAGGTTTGTTGTTTAGTATATTAATTTAGTCCTTAGAATTTGAATTTCCCCTAGGTTTTAGTATTTTTCTCTTTATATGTCATTGATTCGAAACGAGTAGCTTGAATGCTCCCCAATCTGGAAAGCATGCTAATTGCAGACATGAGAATCCAACCTGCTTTGGCATACGTCAAATGCTGCAGATTTGTTCGAAACTTCTTGTATTTTTTCCCATGTGTAAAGTACATAATAGAGGAAAAAAAAGTTTGTACAAAATGGTTGTATGTCATATAAGAGGAATGAGCTACACTGCTGTTCACTAGAGATTTGTTCTCCCTATTCTATTTTTTCTACTCTGGGAATTTACCCTGTTTGCTTGTTGATGTTGTGCGGGTGTCATGGTTGTCTCTTGTGACATGTACATAATTGTATCTGGATGTAATCTCTATTTGGTTGCATTGTACAATAAGGCATATCATCTCTTTTTTTTTAAATTATTTATTTATGCATATACATATTTGGCAAACTGTGGTCGATGCTTCTTTTCCATGATTGACCTTATCTCATGTTCATGGGCTCATGAATTAGACTTTAGTATAGTTCTCTCACAATGTGATCTGTTTTTTCAGCTCTCATTCCAAGAATGGACACAACAAGTCCAAGATATGTTGAACACGAAGAAATTTGGGGATATTGCATTTAGGGACAAGGATTTCAAGAATGCAATTGAGTATTATTCCAAGGTACATGCACTCTCCCTCTCCTTCTACCGAATTTTATCTTAAGAATGGATGATATTATGTGACAAATTAGTTCAATATTCTTTTTGCTATGCAAGGGCTTTTAAAATCATAGTGCCACAATTTAAATGTGCACGTTGCACATTGCACGGGTACCAGGTTGGTTAATTCACACTAAGCAGATAAACATTGTGTTACTCAGCCTAATTATTTGGAACCAACCGTAGACTAAAAAAGAGAAAAATCCTGAATTCCTAAACCACTATAAAAAGAAGAGTGTTGATTATTTATTTTGGATACGCAATTATTCAAGGATACCTTTTCTACCTTTTCTATGCAATAAACAGTTAGTCGCTATGATGTCCGGCCCTTCAGCAACTGTCTTTGCGAGAAGAGCCTTCTCCTACTTGATGAACGGCCAAGCAGAACTTGCTTTAAGAGATGCAATGCAGGCACAGGTGTGTATACCAGAGTGGCCAACTGCATTCTACTTGCAAGCTCTGGCACTCTCAAAGCTTGGAATGGAGACTGATGCTCGGGACATGCTTAATGATGGAGCAGCCTTTGAAGCAAAGCGGCACAACACATGGCGTAGCTAAACTTGTACACTTGAAAATCTGTAGGTCTGTCTGATTTCGTTTACTCGGCTTGGGGGAACTGGATAGAATAGGTAGTGAAGTGCTAGGTGAATGTGAAATGTGGTTGATAGAGTTGTTTAGGTATCTTTGCAAATGCTATGTTAACTATAGTTACAAGTGTTTGTTTTTAACTTTATATAATGCATTTCCGATAGAAATGAGTTATTTATATATATAACATTTAATTTAGTGCATATTGCCTCTTACTTGAGAGAAAACCCCCACATTCTAGTTGATTTGGGAATGTGCAGAACACATCAATATTGACCAAAACTTTACTGGATTTGGCATTTCATAACAATGTTGCCTTTATTGAGAAGTTTCGACCGGAATCGTGAGTTGAGACATTCTCCAATAAGTATTTAAGTTAAGGATTGGTTAAATACTTTTAATCTTGGCCGTTGGATTGCATCTAAAAGACTACCAACACATTTAATGAATATAATCAACGGCTAAGATTAGAAGTATGTAATCAATCCTTAACATAAAATACTTATTGGAGAATCTCCCGAGTTACATGTGCAAGTTTGGGTGCATATATATTAACATACATTCTACTTTGTTTGAAAAATAAAAAGAAACAGAAGCAAAATAAATTGAAACCATGAAACAAATCCATGGTAATATGATTGACCAAAAAGCACAAGGGTAATTGAGAAGTTTTTTATTTATAAATTCAAAGAAGGAAAAACAAACATGTAGTCAGAATCTTTAACTAACGACTCAATCAAGGAAGAAAATAAAGTTATCGATTTAGTTCATTTCATCCCTGAAAACTTTGTTCGCTTGGTAGGGGGATCTGAGCTTTAGACCTCTTTCAACATTAAGAGAAGTACTGTCACACTAACTAGTAAAAATTTGTTCGCTTGGTTGGTAAAAACTATATTTTTAAACTAGTAAAAATATAATAATAAAAACACTTAATTATTCATTTGCCTATATCATTTTTTTCATTTTTTTTTCCTCGTGGTACAATACTCGTTTTATCCTACTTCATAATGTCATCTCATATTGATTGATAATACATTTATTCATTACAATCATAGTTGTCTTCAATTTCATAAGTAATAATCTCAAACATCCACATTATTAAAAACTTAGAAGTTTATAATTTATATTCTAACAGAGAGGAAATACAAATAATTTTCATAAATCTCAATATTAAAGTGCCCAACTCAGGTTTAAAAAAAAGGGAGGGAAACAAAAAAAATCAAAAAAAACAAAATCACAAAGCTTTAGTTAATTTACTCATTCTCAATAGGGAGTAGACACATTTTATGAATTTTTGTTGGCAGAGAACAAAATGAAGGAAACGACAAAAGAGAGAGAGTTTAAAAATTTATAAGGTTTTAGTCCAAATATCATAAACTAATTTAGAAGATTTGAGGAATAGAACTAGAAGAGAAATTAAGAAGTTGCATGGTTAATTTATAGACAAAATGAACTTAATATATTATTTATTTTAGGATAAAGGGAGGGGGAAGGGGCGAGAGACCACTCTCTGGTCTCTTTAGTGACTTCGCCCCTAAATACAAGTAATATTGCGAGAGAGAAAATCGAATCTAAGATTTCGGGTGTAGAATGAGTACTCTTACAAACCCCTCACTATACTTTTTTCACTTTATTTTAATTACGTGTCTCACCTTATTTGTTTCGTATCCTCTTAAGTTACAAGTCCCTAGCTATTTTTTTTCACTTCACTTTATTTATTTTAATTACGTGTCTCATCTTACTCTGTTTCGTCTATTCTGTGTGAATATGTTCCGTGAATTCTGTTTATGAATCCGTTCCGTGAATTCTGTTAATGAATCTGTTCCGTAGGTTACGTAGATTCTGTTAATGAATCTATTTCCAGAAAATGTTTCGCTGTCATTTCGAGGACATTGAATGTAGTCCGTAAATTTCCTCTCAATAATAGTGGCAAAATCGTATTTTTAGCCAATAAAAAAATATAAACTAATATAAATTTGCTGAGATTGAGATAGAGAGATATAGAAAGATAGAGTCAGATAGACGCACGGCAGCCAGAGGTAAGACTGCGATTATCCAATTAGTTTATTCTAATTTATTTTCTTATGAATTTTCTTTTCTCTTAATTCATTTTTGTTTATCATGGTAGACCTTAGCTTCTGTTTGGTTCCCCAGAAAATGAAAATTTATCATTCCCATGTTCGAGCAACCTGATTGCTCTACCTTTTATTTGTTTTTGGGGTTTGTAGATCCATGATTTGGGAATAAAACTAGAGAATTAGAGAAGATAATCTGTGTTAGGAAAAAGAAACAGCTAATTGAGGTTTAAACCTTATCATAATTGGTTAAATTTGGTAATTTATTCTTTATTTCATGAAATCTCTTGAACTGCATTTTCATATCTCATGGAAGATCTTGATCGATGTGTTCAATTTTTCCACACGCATCCTTTATTAAATTACCATTAAATATTTATCAGAGGAATTATTATTTTTCTTTAATGTTGGGTGGGGAAGGAATCAAGAAAGTTGAGTTTTCCTGAATGGTGTTTTTGTAACGGCCATGGAGAAATCACTGTACATGGATCCTCAAACTTGGGTTATGCTTTAGGGTCTGTTTAGTAGTGCTTCTTAGTCACAAAATCGTCAGGTGCTTTTTCAGGAATCACTTTCGAGTGCTTTTCTAGGAAACATTTGGATTTTTGTAATAAGAATTTTCAGTTCTAATAGAAGCACTTGTAGAAAAGCAACAACGAGGAGAAGCAGTCCCAAACGAGCCGTTATACATAAACTGAATAACATTTGAATTGATTTGGGTGATATTAGGCTCGAAAGAGTTGGCTATATAGAAATTAAAAGAGTGACAACAATTATGGAGTTGACCAATATCACAATTTGAAATGCAGGAAAGATTCAACATTTTATGGATAGCAGAGGAGCATGCAAGGAGGTTTCTGATGAGCTGGCCAGGGAGTTGCTTATTGCAATTTCTTACCCTGTACCAGACCAGGTTCTTGATCTGAGTTTCGTGCCTCGGGACAGTGTTCTGGTGGCCAATGGGGATGGGGATGAGAAGTATGTCTCTGAACTTATGACCATTTCTAATGTGCAATCCCCTGATATCAAAAACCTGAAACAAGCAAGCATTTGCAATTAGCAATGCTGCATTCTTCATGGAAAATGGAAATACCCTTACCCTTATAAGATATTGTAATTATTTGTTATTGTTTTTCAACTACTACTATTGTATAAATAAAAGCCACACAGAGTCTAATCGCATCGAGAAGCTTCTGGTGATCAGTGTAATAAACCTTCATATTATAAGGATGAGAATGGCAATTGGACCCAATGGTTCTTGGTTTCTTCTTGTTTCTGTACTCAATATTCTGTTAGCATTTTCGTATCGTAATTGCTATGCTCATCGTATTGTTCGAAAATCGGATAGTGAGTGCTCTGCGTCGATTTAGGTTTGGTTTGTTGAGATTATGTCATCTGGGTTTGTTCTTCCATGCCTTAAGCCTTCATTACTTGTTTGAAACTTTCGAAGTGTAAACGATTCTTATCAATTTTATGTCATGTTTCGTCACATAAAACTGTTGAAAACCACACCATAATTGCTTCGAATTGGGGACCAAGCATCTCCATTGAGGGTAAAGTGTTTCTATTACTTCAGATTCTAATTGTAATTTTAATTGCAAAAATCCTAATCAAACTCACCTAATCTAGGATTTCTTATAAAAAATATTTTGAACGGATGACATTGTTGGGCATGTTGAAAAAGACGTTGATTTGAAGGGCACTTGTTGGGCCTGCACCCCAAGCAAAGGCCGAACAATACTTAACTAGAGGATAAAACCCAACAAGGTTATCCTCAAACCATTGGGTAAAAATAGCCAAGAAAATTTCGTAAAATCGTTTGTGAAATTCGTAGGGTAATAAGACAAATTAAATTTGTAGATAATGTTTAGGAATGATTCGGAGTTTCAGCACTAGGTATCGGTACATTTTTATATGTACTTAAGTATCAATTATTGAACTAACGCGGTCTAGTTTAATGGAAAAGTGCCTTGACTTGCCGACCAAAAGTCTTATATTCAAATTCCTAAATAATTTTTGTGTGAGTGTGAGAAATCCACCTCCTCTTTAGAATTTAATCAATGACATTTTCTGGTATTTTGAATGTTTCACTCAATTACTTTCTTTGGTTAACCATATCTTTATTTTCATTACAAGTTTATTCTGGGATAAAATTCATTTTTAATGGCTTTTTGTTCTCACCCAGACAAACAAATCCTAACATTGGACGTTGTTTGCTGGAATGTATTTATGTCAGTTATTTAAATTCATGGAATTTCTCATATGCTATCTTCATAACTAATATCTATTGAAAAAAAATATTTTGCGATAAAAATATAATTTTAAGAAGGACAAACTTAGCTGGTTTTCTTAAAAAGAAAAAAAATCGTAATAATGGCTTGTGGAAAATTGTAAGATGCCCGGATGAATGGAGAAGAAAGACAGAGCAAAGAGACGTAGAAGGAACAAAGAGTCAAATAGGAAAGAGAGAGAATTAAATAAATAATATTTTTTAGAGAAATAATAAAACAATTAATGAGATGGGAGAGATATTAAAATCTTAATTAAAATGTTATCAGGATTCAATGCATAAATATTTAAATAAAGTAAATTTATTTTGAGCAACCAAATTGCTTCTCAATCGTTGAAAGCTTACAAATATAATGGTCCAAAAATTGTGTCATAACTTGGACAAAAAATAACTTGTGTTACCTTTTTTTTTCTTTTGTTTTTTTGTTTAAGTAAGAGAGGGGAGTTTCTCACAGACTCACAACTAAGATGTTGTAGGGGAACCTAGGACTTTCGGTATGCAAGTCATTATCATTTTCCACTAGGTGAGACCCGTTGACTTTGTGTTACTTATTAGAGGCATTTGTAATGGTTGTTTACAAAAAGCACAAATATTTCTTGTCATTTTAAGTAATAGGAAGGTAGGTAGGGTCTAGTAAGCTAATATAGGGGATCACTTTTTCCTTTTATAATCTTAATCAACATTCTCTGCATGATCCTTTTAGGTTCATTCATCACATTTAATATTTTTGTGTGAATTAAATATTTTCTTTCTATGACATGTAACCAAAATATTCATCAAAACTGGTACTACATAAGCAAGCAAAACCCCAAACATCAGTCACTTGTTGTCTAAAGGCCTGTAAATCCAAGGAAACTGGAAAATGGAGTTGGGTTTCTGGAGTTCGGTTTTCACAGCTTCAATTGGTGGGTTTGGTGCTATACTTCTGATCCTAAAGAGAGCAAATGAGTGGTACTTTGTGAGCAGATTGGGAGAAAAGAAGAACACTCTACCTCCAGGTGACATGGGCTGGCCTTTCATTGGCAACACCTTGTCTTTCCTCAAGGCTTTAAAATCTAATGATCCTGATTCTTTCATCTCAAACTGTGTCAAAAGGTCTCTCTCTCTCTCTCTCCTCTCTCTCTCTCTCTCTCTCCTCCCATTGTCACTCAAAGTTGAAACAATTTGATGAGAAATCGAGTATATTCTTAACTTTTCTGTTGGTACCAGGTATGGCAGCACAGGAATTTACAAGGCTTACTTGTTTGGAAAGCCAACCATAATTGCTACAGCACCTGAAACATGTAGGCAGGTCTTGATGGATAGTTTACAATTTAAGACTGGTTGGCCAAAAGCGACTGCTGAGTTAATGGGAAGGAAATCATTTGTGACCCTTCCTGAAGAGGAACACAAGCGCCTTCGCAAGCTGACCGCAGCCCCAATCAGCGGTCACAAGGCATTGTCTATGTATCATGAATACATTAAGCATGTCACAGTAAGTTCATTGGATGAATTGGCCAAAGCAGATAGGCCTATTGAGTTCTTGTCTGAGATTAGGAAGATAACTTTCAAAATAATCATGTTTATTTTCTTGAGCTGTGAGACTGGTCCAATGATGGAGACCATGGAGAGAGAATATGCTATTCTCAATCATGGACTAAGAGCCATGGCCATAAACCTTCCTGGCTTCGCTTTTCATAAAGCACTCAAGGTCAGATTATACTAAATAGATTTCTTCATTTGAGTTCATTTCTTTTTTTCCTTTCAAACTGGACTTGATAATGACATTCTTGCATGTATCAGGCTCGAAAAAAGATGGCTAAGATTATTCAAGATGTTGTAGATGAAAGAAGGGCAAGAAAAGCGAATAATCTATCACGGGAAAGAACAGATTTGATGGATTTGTTAATGGAAGCTGAAGATGAGAATGGTAAAACATTAGATAATGAGGAGATAATAGACATAATTCTCATGTACTTGAATGCAGGACATGAATCTTCAGCCCATGCCACTTTGTGGGCTATTCTCTTCTTACATGAACATCCGGAATACTACCAAAAAGCCAAGGTGGGTGCATATCAATACTGGTTTGATGCATTTTGAACATTTTTACTAGTCTTCATTTTCCAAAACTGATTACTGTCTTTTTTTTTTGGGGGGGTTAAATTTGTTGTTCTGTTTTGTTAGTTCTTCTAAGTGTTGTACTTGTAAAGAAATTGTTAGTGTAAAACTCAATTGCATGTTTTCCTGCAGTTGCTATCTTATCTTGGTTTCTTTTCAAACTTTGGAAGCTAATTTCTAGATGTTGTGATGTTTCAGGCAGAGCAAATGGAGATTCTGAAAAGGGCATCATCACCAGAAGCGGGATTGGACTTTAAAGAAACTAAACAGATGGAATATCTATCCAAGGTATGTTTTCTGTGGCTATTGAATCCTAGAGAGGGTATGTTTTCCTCTGATACCCAAGTCATGCCCTCAGATTTGAACTTCAACTAGCTCTACAGCTAATAGAAATGTAAGTAATACGTAACATATTTCGACAACATAGGTCATCGACGAAACACTGCGCGTTGTTAACATCTCATTATATAGCTACCGGGAGGCAACAACTGATGCGAACGTCGCTGGTAAATTTCTCTACTTTCCTCCTTTCTTGTTTCAACTGTTTCTTGTACAGAAAGAAACTTAGTAGAAGATGATCTGCTTTCAAGGTTACACAATACCGAAGGGCTGGAAAGTAATGATGTGGTACAGAGGTGTTCATTTGAACCCAGAATATTATCCAGATCCAAAGGAGTTTAATCCCTCAAGATGGAATGTAAGCAAGAAAATGCACATAATTTAATGTAATTTTTAATAGCAAATGTATGTGATACAAGATGTGGGATTTTTTACTGTTTATTTTGTTTTTGTAGGAAAATAAAGGCAAGGCAGGGACTTTCATTCCCTTTGGAATAGGAAGTAGGCTATGCCCCGGAAGTGATTTGACCAAGCTTGAAATTTATGTATTTCTTCACTATTTTCTCCTTTATTACGAGTGAGTTTCCTTGCTTTCCGTTTGTTCTTTCTTTCCACTTTTCTTTGAAACAACCAACTTCAAAGTTCATGAATATAATCTGCAAGGTTCCACTTGGACATTTGGATTTATAAGATGTAGGATTTGTATCCCTCATTTTAAATTCATATGTAGTCAAAATGGAATAAAATGTGTGGAAGGTGAGATTTCAAATCTAAGAGTTTTAGTTATATTGTATGTGACATGTCCAATAGAAATGGTAAATATAGAAGGTGAGATTTTAAATCAAAGAATTTTGTTGGTTTAAGGAAATGTTAACCATTTTAATTGCAATGGTCTCTGAGTATGTAACTAAGTTTCATTTTGGATGTCAAAGTGGCCGTCAAAATAGGTAGGTTGTTTGAGTGGTGATTAATTTGTACATGAATTGACAGTTCTACACTTTAAATTGACGGCTGACACAATTGGAGGACGTCAAAAGTTCAAACTTGAATTGAAGGACCAAAATAAAACTCGAGTACAAGTTCAAGGACCATAACAGTTAAAAATTCATTAACAACATATATGCATTTGTATAGTTTCAATAGAACTTCAATTTCAACCGTACATGGTTTCTAATCATTTCAAATTATGCTGTCCCTTCTCTTTTAAGTCCTTTCAATTGCACTGTCCTAGTCATATGCTATTATTTTAGGGAGCTGATTTCCCTACTCTCCTTTTCTCAACTTACACTTTCTTTTGCTTTTTTAATACTTTTTAATCAATTTTATTCTTTCTCTTTCCTATTCTATCTTTACCCTACATTAGTTTCTTTTTTACTTCACTTTTATATTATTTCTTTTTCTTTGTACTTAATTTTTCAACTTACACTCTATTTTCAGTATTAAAGGGAAAAAAAAACTTAATTTCTTACTCGATTAAAGGAAAAAAAAATACTGAAAATGGAGTGCAAGTTGGAAAATTAAGTATTAAAAAAAACTAATATAAAAGTGAAGTAAAATGAAATTAATGTAGGGTAAGGGTATAATAGGAAAGAGAAATAACAAATTGATTAAAAAGTATTAAAAAGCAAAAGGAAGTGTAAGTGGAGAAAAGAGGAGTAGGGAAATTGTATCCCTTATTTTATCTATGTTCATGTGTTCATGTGTCACACAATGCCCTTATTTATTTTTAGATTTCCTAAGGAATCCAATACATTTGCATGTCTTTGATTTGAAAGTTGAGCGGTTTTTTTGTCTTTTTTGAAAAAGCTTTGGCTTTTTCCGAAAGTGAAAATTTTTTTATATCTAAAACCTAAAAAACCTTTATATAAAAGTGCTTCCTTACATTGTTTCTGACCTTTGTACTTTCTGATTGCAGGCTTGAACTAGTCAATCCGGGATGTGGAGTGAAATACTTACCTCATACAACTCCTAGAGACAATTGCCTTGCAAAAATTAATAAGCTTCCATCGCCATCTACATAACCTGAAAATATAAGGCCAAAACTTGCTTCCTTCGGTATAATAATAAATATTTACTTGTGGAGCTCGTGGACTTTTTTATTTATGGGATGTAAACTTGCTTCATTTAATTCATGGATGGTGTATTCTAGGATTGTGTTTGTTAATTGAGGTAAAGAAATGAGTTTGATCTTCTCTCTCTCTGCGCCATTTTTTTGTTTTTTTGGGTGAATGCTTTCTTTCTTTTGATAAATGCAAATTACTTAAATTTTACTTTTCCAAATTGGCTTAAGCGGATGTGCTCTCCACTCTACATCCGATTTCACATCTCCCTCCTCGTAGTTTGGATTAAATTAAAGTAGAATATCGTATGTATCAAAATAAAAATAATAATAAATAAATAACTCGTGTTACGTTTTTAGTGGCACTTGTTCTCAATGGTTGTTTACAAAAGCAGAAATATTTCTTCTCATTTAATTAATAAGAAGGTAGGGTATAGTAAGCTAATATAGGGGATCACTTTTTCGTTTTATAATCTTTATTACATAGTATGGTCAAATTCTGTGTGTGCGTGATCCTTTTAGGTTTATTCATAATTTTTTTGTTGTCATTCGAAGATGCTGTTGAGAGATGCTTTGGTGTTTCAGAAAGCGTAAGGTCAAATTCTACATGCAAAACCCAAAATTGAGACCAAAATGTCTACTAAGATAAAAGGTTGGTGTTAGCTCCATCAGTCACTTGTCTAAAAGCCTGTAAATCCAAGTAAAGTGGAAAATGGAATTGGGTTTCTGGAGTTTGGTTTTCACAGCTTCAATTGGTGGGTTTGGTGCTTTGCTTTTGATCCTAAGGAGAGCAAATGAGTGGTATTTTGTGAGCAGATTGGGAGAAAGGCAGAAGACTCTGCCTCCAGGTGACATGGGCTGGCCTTTCCTTGGCAACACCTTGTCTTTCCTCAAGGCTTTAAAATCTGATGATCCTGATTCTTTCATCTCCAACTATGTCAAAAGGTCTCTCTCTCTCTCTCTCTCATTGTAACTCAAAGTCGAAACTATCTGATGAGAAATATATGCTAAACTTTTCTGTTGGTACCAGGTATGGCAGCACAGGAATTTACAAGGCCTATTTGTTTGGAAAGCCAACCATAATTGCTACAGCACCTGAAACATGTAGGCAGGTCTTGATGGATAGTTTACAATTTAAGACTGGTTGGCCAAAATCAACTTCCGATTTAATGGGAAGGAAATCATTTATGAGTCTTTCTGAAGGGGAACACAAACGCCTTCGCAGGCTGACCGCAGCCCCGATCAGCGGTCACAAGGCATTGGCTATGTACCATGAGTACATTAAGGATGCCATAGTAAGTTCATTGGATGAATTGGCCAAAGCAGAGAGGCCTATTGAGTTCTTGACTGAGATTAGGAAGATTACTTTTAAAATAATCATGTTTATTTTCCTGAGCTGTGAGACTGGTCCAATGATGGAGACCATGGAGAAAGAATATGCTATTCTCAATCATGGACTAAGAGCCATGGCCATAAACCTTCCCGGCTTTGCTTTTCATAAAGCGCTCAAGGTCAGATTATACTATATAGATTTCTTCATTTGAGTTCATTTCTTTTTTTCCCTTCAAACTGGACTTGATAATGACATTCTTGCATGTATCAGGCTAGGAAAAAGATGGCTATGATTATTCAAGGTGTTGTAGATGGAAGAAGGGCTAGAAAAGCAAATAATCTATCACGGGAAAGGACAGATTTGATGGATTTGTTAATGGAAGTTGAAGATGAGAATGGTAAAACATTAGATGATGAGGAGATAATAGACATAATTCTCATGTACTTGAATGCTGGATATGAATCTACAGCCCATGCCACTTTGTGGTCTACTCTCTTCTTAAACGAACATCCAGAATACTACCAAAAAGCCAAGGTGGGTGCTATCAATACTGGTTTGATGCATTTGAACATACTTACTAGTCTTCATGCTGCAGAACTAAAAATTGTCTTCCATTTTTTTGGTTAAATTTTCCCGGTTTCGTTTCAAATTTTTGGAAGCCAATTTCTAGATGTTATAATGTTTCAGGCAGAGCAAGTGGAGATTCTTAAAAGGGAATCATCACCGGAAGAGGGATTGAACTTTAAAGGAACTAAACAGATGGAATATCTATCTAAGGTATGTTTTCTGCGTCTAATTTTAACACCCTGAGGATATTTTATGTTATAGCAAATGCTTACTCTTTTCTTTGGGGGATTGCAAAATATTGATTTATCATCATAAGTACAAGAAGTACTATTGAATCCTAGAAATAATTCTAGGTACAATGCAAACTCTTGCTCAAAGTGAGACTACTAATTTCAAATGCTGCACAAAGGGAGGGTGATTTATTTTCCTTTGATACCCAAATCTTGCCCTCAGATTTGAACTTCAACTATCCATGCAGCTAATAGAAATTGGAGTAACATATTTTGACAATAGGTAATCGACGAAACACTGCGCATGGTTAACGTCTCATTGTATGGCTATCGGGAGGCTGCAACTGATGCGAACGTCGCTGGTAAATTTCTCTACTTCCTCCTTTTCTTGTTTCATCTGTTTCTTGTACAGAAGAAAACTTACTACAACATGCTGTGCCTCCAAGGTTACACAATACCAAAGGGCTGGAAAGTAATGATGTGGTACAGAGGTGTTCATTTGAACCCAGAATATTATCCGGATCCAAAGGAGTTTAATCCCTCGAGATGGAATGTAAGCAAGAAAATGCACAAAATTTAATGTAATTTTTAATAGCATATGTATGTGATACAAGATGTGGGATTTTTTACTGTTTATTTTGTTTTTGTAGGAAAATAAAGCCAAGGCAGGGACTTTCATTCCCTTTGGAATAGGAAGTAGGCAATGCCCTGGAAGTGATTTGACCAAGCTTGAAATTTCTATATTTCTTCACTATTTTCTCCTTTATTATGAGTGAGTTTCCTTGCTTTCCTTTTGTTCTTTCTTTCCATTTTTCTTTGAAACAACTAATTTCAAAGTCATGAATATAATCTGTAAGGTTCCATTTGGACATTTGGATTTATAAGATGTAGGATTTGAATCCTCATTTTAAATTCGTAGGTCCAAATGGAATGACTTGTGTGAAAGGTGAGATTTCAAATCAAAGAGTTTTATTGTATTGTAAATTTGGTTTAAGAAAATGTTAACAGTAGGGGTTTTAATAGCACTGGTCCCTGAATTTGTAACTAATTTATCTATGTTCATCATACTAGTTTATCTATGTTCATTTGTCACAGTGACAGTGCTATATATAAAAATGACCTTACATTTGGATGGCGAAAAACAAAATGCTTGTTAATCTGTAAATATAATAGATAGTCTTTGACCTTTCAAGTTTTCGAGTGCAGGCTTGAACGACTCAATCCGGCATGTGGAGTGAGATACTTACCTCATACAAGTCCTAAAGACAATTGCCTTGCAAAAATTAAGAAGCTTCCATCGTCATCAGTATAACCTGATAAATAATGGATATTTTTCTGCATTTTTTGCCCCTTTGGAATAGTTAAGGACAGGTTTAGACTTTGTGCTTATTTTTCTTTCATTAGATTTGAACTCGAGACCTACTTCAAAATAATGAATATTCAGTGTCACTAAATCAAATAGTTATTTGCCATATAGTGTGAGAAAGAGAAGACTAATAGCCATCCATGTGAAATAAACCTTAATTCTTTTTTTTTCATTTTCTTTTTTTGTCCAAAAACATTCGTATGAACCTTAATTCACATGAAGTACAGACAAAAGCTGGAGAGATGATACATAGTACAACAGAAAGGGACATAATTAAGCAAAGCAAATTGAACCTAGAGCCCGGAGTACTTTCATAATATATGACAACTTCTTATCAAACATCAAACCTTAAACAGCTGAAAACCAGTTAGTTCAAGATCATTGGGACCAGCATGTTCAAATTCTAGTGGGCGGCATCTTCTTCCTCGCAAAACTTCGTGTATTCTTTAGCACCCAACAAGGATTCTAATTCTGATGGATTGCTGGGCTTAATCTTGATCATCCATCCATCTTCATATGGGCTTGAATTGATCTTCAACATAGAACACACCCAAAGAAAGTTAAATTTGTTAAATAAATAAAAACTGTGTACTTGTGTACAGTTTAAATAATGACATAGGTTCAAATTAACGGTTTAATAATATAACATGTCAAACTATCTGATAGTACGCAACCGGTCAATTATAACATGCATTTGAAAGAAGGGTAGCTTTGTTTTGGTAAAAAGTGTAAAGGTGGAAAGGAAGATTAATTACCAAACCAGGTGATTCAGTAAGCTTTGAGTTAACCTCAACAACATCACCAGAAATTGGGGAATTTATATCACTGGTTGCTTTGACACTCTCGACAGCTCCAAAGCCGACACCTGCAGAGACTGAGCGACCAGCTTCTGGCAGCTCAACAAACACAACTTCTCCAAGATGGTCCTGAAACAAAACTTCACCTACATCACTCACTCTCTGGGCTATTTCAAACTTCAGGTCCAATAGGGAATTTTTTGGACCAAATTAACTTCTTTTTTCTTTTCTTTTTTTCACAGACAAGTGGAAATGGAGATGTGTATATTATTTATTATTAACCTGAGCATGATCAGTGATACCAATTGTTGCAACTGAGCCTTCATGCTTCACCCACTCATGTGAAGATGCATACTTCAACCCTTCCAGAACTGCAAAATCCAACATCACTCCCAAAATTACAATTCTTTTCAACTTAGCAGCAATAACAAATAAATAATAAAAAATAAATCCAAATCATTTGCATAACTTTTAAAACTTGAATGTTACCCAAACCACTAACGAAGAACATTGGGACCAAAATACAGCATTAAAAATGAAAAATATGCATGCATTGGTGAAATGCTAGGCCATTCTATAATCTGTAACCCTACAAACTGCTGAATTTGTCACCAGTTCATACAAATAGAGTATTAAGTTGAAGAGAGGAGTGTTTATTACCAGAAGAAAAGCATCTGGATAAAGAAAATGCAGGGGAGAGGTGGGCTTTGGAGGCACTAGTGATTCTGAGTGCATTGGCTGTTGAAGAAGCCCACATTCTCAGTGCCATATTTCTCTGCCTGCGTTATCTCTATGTGTATGTCTGGTTATCTCTCAAACTCCAAGGCTAATATCAAAATAAGAAGGGCACAGTTTGGAGATGTCGTTTTATCTTGGATGGATGGTTGGCAGCAAAAGCCTCATCCTAATAAGAGTGAGAATATACACAGACCCAGTTTTTTTCGTTTTTTAAAAAAATTATATTTATTTCTATTAATATTTTTTTTTGTGAATATATCAACCTGTTTTAAAAGTGAGACTGTCATCATTCATTACTATATATCTAAATTGAAATTTGAGAACTTCATTTCTTATCTATTTAAAAAAATTTAGAAAAAAAAGTTTTATCTCATGTACTATTTCCCAGCGTACTGTTCACAGGCTTAAGTGGGCTATAGCCCAATACAAAATCTGTAGAAAACTAAAGGGGGTCCAAATTTCACAAGCCATTTCTACTCTCCAAAAATTTTAGCCTACCCAACTTGCCTTTGTTTAATTTTTTTTCTTTTGCCAAATGTTGTAACTTGCCTTTGTTTAATATTAGAGCAACTCCACCCATTTGACATGGCAAAGGGCAAGGGGGGCTATGGCACTTACTATTCACGTGAATAGTGCTGCCCTTACAAAAAATAATGTGTGTTTCCACCCGTTGCCATGGCAAAAGGCAAATCCTATTCATTTTTTGGTTTTTCAACCTAGACAATTAATTTGGAATAAAATTTTCAACCTAAAATTCATATCTCATAATCGGATAAAATTTTCGGATAAGATTTTCATTTTCAAATTTCAAATTTCAGATAAATTTCTAATTTCTAGTTTCTAATTTCAAATTTCAGATAAGATTTTCACCCTTTAAAATCACGCCACATGTCATCTCTATTTGCCTAAATTTTTCTATAAAATCATAAGCTCAACTCATATCTATCACACCAGATCTTTTCTATATTTTCATTTCTCAAATTTTAGAATTCGTACTCCATTCTCAATGTCAGACATAAGGAGATGCTTGGAGGGGCAAGTGTCACATCTCGGGATCGGCTCCGCCGTAGCACGATATTGTCCGCTTTGGGCCCCCCTCTCTGCCCACACGGTTTTGTTTCTAAGAGCTCACGAGCAACTTCCCAATGGGTCACCAATCCTGAGATTGCTCTAGCTCTAACTCGCTTAACTCTGGAGTTCACATGACTCCGAAGCCAATGAGCTCCCAAAAGGCCTCGTGCTAGATGGAGGCGGGCATGTACATATGAGGCACATCACCCCTCTCCGTTGGTCGATGTGGGATGTTACAATCCACCCCCCTTAAGGACCCGACGTCCTCATCGGCACGCTTGCACCACATGGCACAGTGGCTCTGATACCAAATTGTCACATCCCGGGATCGACTCCGCCGTAGCACAATATTGTCCACTTTGGGCCCCCCTTTCTACCCTCACGGTTTTGTTTATGGGAACTCACGAGCAACCTTTTAATGGGTCACCCATCTTGGGATTGCTCTAGCTCCAACTCGCAGCCTCTTCTGAGTTTAAAGTAGGTATATCTAGGATGAAAGCTTACAGGGCAAAGGCAGAGGCACTTCGAATCATTGAAGGATCAATTGCTGAGCAATATGCCATGCTCTGGGATTATTGTCATGGGCTGGAAGACAAAAACTCTGGCTCCACAATAAAGATGCAGTGTGAGTTTGTTGATGGTGAAACTATTTTTAAGCGTTTGTACATTTGTTTAAAATCATTAAAGAGAGGGTTTAAGATGAACTGTAGGCCTTTTATTGGGTTAAATGTCTGCCATTTAAAAGGAATTTATGATGGACAGTTGCTTGCAGTAGTTGGGATTGATCCCAATAACGAGACTTGGGTGCTAGCATATGTTGTGGTTGAGATGGAAACAAGGGAGTCATGGACATGGTTCATTGATTTGTTGGCCAAGGATGTGAACATTGTTAATCCCAAGGATGGGTCTTTATATTTGACAAGCAAAAATGACTGCCTGGTGCATTTGAAGACATTGTGCCTAATGCTGAGACAAGATTCTGTGTGAGGCACCTTTGGGATAACTTCAACAAAAAGGACTACCCGTGCGGCTATACTTTTTAAAATGAAAATTTAATCTTAAAAAAAATATTAACAAATATAAAATTAGTCTCTTAACTTTTATAAAATTAGCCTTTTTTAATTACTTTAATTAGTAATTATATTTTAAACAACAAATATAATAATGAAATTAAATATGGCGTTTGCTCCACTAGGATACAACTTTCTAAATCAAAGTCTTAGCACTAGGGCTTTCATTTCTAGCGAATGATGATATGAATGTCCTCTACGAATTTATAGGACAAACTCAAAACATTATTTAAAAATAATTCAAATAATTAATCAACTAATCGGGTTTAATTTAAATCACAGAGCCCAAGAGCCCTAAGGCCCAAGGCCAATCTTATGATTAATTACATATATTAATTAACCATTGAACACAAAATTCTCACATATTATTTAATAAAAATGATATATACTAAAATAGTAATAATAAAAAAACGTATAGCCGCCCGGCTATACTCAGTTTTCCCCTTAATTGCTTTTAAAAACAGTGTAGCCGTGCAAAAAAAAAAAAGCCCGTTTGACGCGTAGCGCATAAGCATTGGGCGGGTCTATATACACGCATAAATAGTATAGCCGACCGACTCTACTAGATTCTATTTCAAAATTTTTAAGAAATGGTATAGCCTTCCTACAATCTTTTTTCAAAAATAGTATTTCACACGTGGCACCTAGGCTCTGGGTGCATCCCTTTTTATATATATATATACAAATAGTATAGCCGTGCGGCTATACTTTTTAAAATGAAAATTTATTCTTAAAAAATATATATAATTGGTTTCTTAACTTTTGTTTTTTGGCCTACTTCTTTAATTTAATATATGTAATTAAGGGGGGTGTATCCAATTCTAACTTTTAAATACTTTTTTTAAGTGAATGACTTTTCTAGAGTAGACAAATTCTTAATGACTTTTACATACTTTATAAAGTTAAGTGACAAACTTTCATATACTTTTTGTCATAGAGTTTTATAGACTTTTAAATACTTATTTTTATATTTATTTTACAAATAGCATTTATCTTTTATGTTGAATGAATTAGTCGGCATATATTGAACAAAAAATTAGAGAAAAAAACAATTGGATACAATTACATAAAAGCAAAGAATAGTTCTCCTTAACATTAGAAAATGATAAAAATGACAAAGTACATTTGAAAATGTACCATAAGGAAATAATTGGCATTCAACTAGTCATGATCTTGGAATGTTTGGGTGATAGATCTTGGAATGTTGCAGCTTCAACTTCATTTGGTATGAATGCATGATTATCATAGTCATAACTCAAGTCATCTATCCCCACACGTCTACTTTCTTCCACTCCTAATATTCTTGCATCCGTATCATCTCCCAATGCAATTGAGTTTCTTCCAATGGCAGTTCCATTCCCAATTGCAATTCTCAGAAGTTCATAGTCAGCAAAAGTGTCTGTCTGAAAGTTGACATGGGCCGGGTGGGACTAACAAAGGGAAAAAAAAATACAATTAATGCATACACATACAAAATAATAAATTATCATATAATATATTTTCGAAAATAGAAGCTCACCTTAATATAATCTTTCCACACTTCATCACTAGCAGTGAACTTCTTTGTGATTGGATCCCACCCAAACCCAGAGCTATGACGCATAAGCTCAGAAAAAATATTATATCGTTGCTTAAACCATTTCAATCGGCTTAAGTATTGTGAATGATTCCTTTCACATCCAAGTTTTGCATTAAGAGCAGGAAGTATCTTTTTCTCAACTGTTTGCTTACTTAGCATTCCATTACTATCACGCCATCCACGATTGGCGGCATCAACCATGAGTTGTAGCAACTCATTGCTCTCTTCCAACGTCCACAATTTATAACCCCCACTAACTTTGCTCTTTCCTTTGTCATTTCCTCGTTGTGATTCTTCCATTGATAATTACTATATCACACGTACAAATCCTTATTAATTGTGTATATTTTCATAATAGCTTATTGGTAAACTGCATCCAATGCACCTTTTAAATTTTTATTTATCAAATCTAATCACATAGACAAGTAACATATTCTTATCAAAAGAAATAATAAATATTACTCAGTCATCAATAATATTTCATAAACACTCAAAAATCAACAGAAATGGTCAGATTACAAGAGTCTATATTCCAACAATTCTCCTAACCTAATATGTGGGATGTAATCAAATTGAGAACATTATATGAAAAAATTATCCATCTAATGAATTATGGGTAAAGAAACAGTACCTAAAGAATAAATTAATGGGTTTAGGGGCAAAAATTATATAATAAAATATTGTATGCAAACATAGCATATGAGACAATCAATATAATAAAATAAACATAGCTGAAGGAAGTGGATGAGAAGAGATATTCATCAACAGAAACGTGTGGATGAGAAGAGAAGAAAAACATTCAATATTTTTTTACTAACCTGAAGGAAGTGGATGACAATGGGATACCAAAGTGGAGCCCTAACCATGAAGAAAAAAGATCCATTTGCATGATGCTTGATATAACAAAGGAAGAAGGAATTGGAGACGTTTGGAGACGTTTTGGTTCTATCTTCTCAGCTTCCCAATATTTTCATAAAGTCTGGTGTAAATTAGCAAGACTTTTGGTAGTAAGAATTACCTTTAAAAGTATTGAAAAGTCATTTATTTAACAAAGTTTTTAAAAGTCATTAACATTTTGGATACCTCAAAACTTTTAAATACTCTTTAAAACTCACAATTGAATACAACTAAACTTTTAAAGACTATTTAAAAGTCACAATTGAATACCTTCAGACTTTTAAACTCATTAAAAGTCATTAAAAGTTAGAATTGAATACACCCCCCTAAGTAGTATGTTAGCCTTTTTTTAATTACTTTAATTAGTAATAATATTTTTTAACAACAAATATAATAATGAAATGAAATATGGCATTTGCTCCACTAGGATGCAACTTTCTAAATCAAAGTCCTAGCACTAGGGCTTTTATTTCTAACTAAATTTTTAGGTTTGTCTATGCGGCTATACAATAATGATGATATGAATGTTCTCTGCGAATTTGTAGGACAAACTCAAAACATTATTTAAAAATAATTCAAATAGTTAATTAACTAATCAGGTGTTGAAGCCCAAAAAATCCACGGTCGGGCCCGAATAAATTATCGGCCCAAAATGACACTCTATCAAGGAAAGGCGTAAAGCGGAGTACACAAAAACCCTCCACATGCGAGTTGCAATCCACATGCCATGCTAAATAAATAATTCGTCATGCTAGAATATATCGGCCCTGCAAATCCATGCTAATTATCCCATCAAGCATAATAAAAAGCATGCCAAGCAATGTGCCATGTCAAGCGACATGCCATGTCATGACAAGCAGGAAATCATTATTACACACCCAATCACGCTACAAGCCTAAGTGGGCCCAAGCCACTCGAATGCTCGGGGCTTGCTTGAGTGGGTTGTGGTATGGATGGTAATAAATCAACATGAGGCCCATTGATGGGCCGAGAAATGGAAAGTCTCGAGTTGCTTGGGAGCCTCGAGACTCAAGCCCATTTCTTAGGCCCAAACATGTGGGTGAGCACAAGAGGAAAAGAAATAGCCCAAATGGCCCAAATAACCCAAATAGCCCCAAATAGCCTATTGACTCAAAAGCCCAATATTTAACAAAATAGCCCACTTATTTAATGAACTACCTTGACCCATACAAAGCTTCACAATAAGCCCACAAAAGCCTCAGCCCTTTGCTGGAAAAATAGAAGCCACGTAGAGAAGGTCTGCAGGTTCATTAAACAAAACCTCCAGACATGGAGGGAGCAAGTTCCAAGCAAGAAACATTCAAGGAACCAAAGAATATTAGCCTACGAGCTGCCAGAAACACCCTTCGAACCAGCATATATTTCCCAACTCTTTTTCCCATCAGACTTGGCCATGGAAAAGAGAGAAGAAAGCAATAAAAGAAATGGCTGGGAATGGAAATCTGTCACTGAGACAGCTGCGGGAAAATGGGGCCTTGAGCTCCCAAAGTTCCTGATTTTGTGCTAATAAACAGAGGAAATTTCACCAAGATAGGAAAAGCCAGGGGAGGAGAAGAGAAAGGAAGGGAAAAGCTTAGCCAAAATGGGTAGAAACCATTAGGGTTTCTTGGGAATGGATGATTTCCAGCGCCTATAAAATAAGGCCTCTTCTACCCAACAAAAACAACCCCACGCCTGGAGAGCAAGCTTTCTCTCTAACTTGCAAAAACCCAGCAGTCTCGTGCACTGTTCACCATCTTCTCCATTCTCCTCTTCTGGCAAACAGAGTATCTGTCAAGCTGCTAGAAGAGCATTGTTCTTCATTTCTCTCTTCCTAGCCAAATCTTCTACAAAATCTCTCTTTTCTCACCTTAACACTTCCCTTTTTTCCCTCTAAGAAAGCCTAAATTTCCTCTTAGTGCTAAACTCATGTTGATTTTGCTCCCATGCCACATGCCTCTCATGCCAAGCTTAAAATTTTATCTGTAAGCATGCATAAATTATCTGTAAGCTGCCATTATTTTGGTTGGTAAAGGTAACCAAAATACTTCCTAAGGCTCTACTGCCCTTTCGAGGTATTTTGGGGCTTAATTTTCGAACTCAGGCAAAGGGGACAATTTCATCAGTCTGCCCTTTTTACAGCAGCCCAGCCCATTTGCAGCTGCTAGAGGAAAAAGTCCCCTACATCGGGTTTAATTTAAATCACAGAGGCCAAGAGCCCCAAGGCCCAAGGCCAATCTTTTGATTAGTTACATATATATTAATTAACCATTGAACACATAATTCTCACATATTATTGAATAAAAATGATATATACTAAAAAGAAAATATAGTATAGCCACCCGCCTATACCCAGTTTTCCCCTTAATTGCTTTTAAAAACAGTGTAGCCGTAAAATAAAATAAAATAAAAACCAGTACTGCCCGTTTGACGCGTGGCGCATAAGCGTTGGGCGGGTCTGTATACATGCATAAATAGAATTTGGCTCATGGACAAACCTAAAAACTCAAATGTATGTTACAGCAGGCTTATGCGGAAGTGTCTGACAACTCAAATGTATGTGGAAGTGGCTGACTTTAGAGGGTCAACGGGCTTGAGTTAGAGATCCATTATTAGTAGATTCCATGACTTGAGTAGGTCAATAGGCTTGAAACATCCATTGTCATTTGTTAAATGGGCAATTTGAAATAGTTAAGTATGCACAATACAATTTGAGTTTTGATCATGCCCTAATACCATTATGCTCTGTGCTTACCTTAGGAGTTAGGAAGTTCCTTCGTACTGGAATACCATTATGAAACATTTGCAATACATACATAATACAACCTGCAAGGATTGAAATAATATAATCCAATCCCATTATTTTAGTACGTACTACTACCTAACTGAGGGACGTAGCATAGCGATTGAATTCTGAGACATCATCTCAATGGAATTTCCTATTTCAGTGTGATTGCAGCCAAACCTGATAGATATGCTTGTAAGTTTCCATTTTCCATGTACTCGTACACAAGCCCTGTGTGGTTTTCATCATTGCAATATCCTACAAGGCTTGTCAAGTTAATATGATGAACTCTCATCACAAGATTAACCTGTAAGATATGAAACATCTTAGTTTATTATATAAGATTGAGCTCAAAATGATTGCATAGCTTATTTTAACAAACGTGTGCCTCAGCATGAAATTGTTGAAGCCCTTGAACTGAAGATGGTGAAAGCATCTTGACAGCTGCTTGAGTTTTGTCCATGCATCCATGATGAACTGTTCCAAATCCACCTTTGCCAAGAATCCTCTTTAAATTGTTGGTGATCTGGAGGATCTCAGAGTATGTAAACTCTCGTTTTGTTGCCTCTACTGGTGCAATGATAGGATTTGCATCTGTGACAGCTCCTAAGATTTCATCACAAGTTTAATGTGCATATATTTATGAAGAATGTTATTATTATTTTAAGGGTTTCAAGGGTCTGACCTTTAATAGTCATGACCCAAAAATTTTTATAATTTTTTTAATACCAAAACAAACATTATTTAAAAAAAAAAAAAAAAAAATGATGTCAATGTTTGATGCTCCAATGAGTCCAATGAACAATACTTTTTTATAATTGTTTTTAAACAACACTTGAAAAGATTTGAAAAGCTGACCGCATTTATTATTATTTTTATTTTTATTTTTATTTTTAAAGGAAGTGGGTAGGTCTGACCTCCAACGTCATTGCCAACAATTTTTTATATTTTTTTCTTAAACACTATGAATTGAAACATTCAAAATCAAAAGGCTTTTAAAAATATATATATATATTAATGTTGGCCGCTAAAAAGCATATGGATGGGCCCCACTACAAATTTGGCATAGGCCAAAGCTGGGTTACATTTGGCCCGGTTGTAGGGCTAAAGGGCCAAATATGACCCTCTAATATAACCCTCTAAATTTGGCCAAAATTTTGTTTAAACCATGACTGGATATGAGTTTTGCATTACTTTAGGACTATATTTGGATATAGCCCATGGCTAGAGATGGCCTTAAGACCCTTTTAATCAGCAGTTAAACCGAGAAAAAACAAGGGCCAAACCAAGCTTGACCATTGCATATCAGGGAGAAACTGATCCTATTCCGGCTGGGTCTGGATGTGTGAAACCCGACCCATTGTACGAACCAATTACCCATCAAACCCGGTCCATTGCTTCTCTTCTGACTTCTGAGAGCTTGACAGAAACGCCCAAAACCAAAGCCCGCGAACGGACTCGGCTGCAACTGTACGGACACCGGTGTCTGTGAATTTGGTGACGGTCGACGGAGACCCAGAAAAGAATTGTGGTGGTGGCGCTGGTGGTTGATATGTTATGGATGAGATTGTGGAGGAGCAGGAGTTGATGCCCATTTCTGAGAAGAACATCGACAATGGTGAAGAGGAGTTTCAGAAGAAGGTGGAGATCGTTGTGAGGACCATAGGCCCTGCTCCCCCTTCTCGTCTCCATGTCCCTTCTCCCATCAGAGTACGTATTTCTTGCCCGTCTCTCTTTTAACATCTGTGTATGTTTGTATATGGAAGCATGATGAAGCCCCGGAGACTCAGATTGCATGTGGAAAAGTAGTTATGCTTGTTCATTTTCTGTTCATTGTAATGGTTTGTATGTATAATTGATTAAGACCCAGATTAGCAATTCTTGATTGTTTGAGGCTGTTTGTGACTCCATGAATTTAACACCCATTGGTAAGAGGAAAATTGAAAAATTGAAACATTGGCCAAGTCAAGCAATTAACCAGTTGTTAGACATGACCAATTGTTTGTGGAATCGTCTTTTCACTGTTGTTGGTCTCCTTGTCTTATGGACTCATATTGGGTTTTCTAGACCAATGTGTCAGGGAGCTAATTGAACCTAGAATCAAGGGTCTTTTTCTTCTGCTAGCATTAAGGGTGTGTATATGTTTCTCTTTGCTGGAGACCTCTACGTGGACCAGAAGCATGTTGGCAAATAAATTAAGAATGCATGCGATAGATTTGGTGACATCGCATTGCCTCTAAGAAATACTCTTCAATTATGTTGCTTTATTACAATCCACAACCTTTTCCGCTTTATTACAATCGCATTGCCTCTTAAGGATGTGCGTTGTTCTGTATGGTGAGGCTAAATTCCCTTGTTTTGGACAAATGTTCTTATTTTACCATTTAAGGGAGCCTCTTACCTGTGGAGTTCAACTTTAGAGCCTGCCCCGTAAAGCAGTTTCATTTGCCATCTTGATGAGTGATTCCAATATTTCACAACGTGGAAGTGTCAATTGGGATAGTACTGGTTTGTCATTCTCTTTCGTTAATTAAACCCTGCATTAGGTGCCAATATCTGTATAACTCTTAGTTACTGAGAGGGTGAAGCCTTAAAATAAGAAAACGAAATCCTACATCTAATGATAGTTACTTGAGTATTTTTTGTAATTCACTTGAATTTTAGCTCTTGTAAAACAATAAATTTTGGTTAAACAACCAGGAGCATATGATAGCATGATAACTGCTCTCTCTCTCTCTCTCTCTCTCTCTCTCTCTCACATGGGGTCTGCATTTGCTGGGACAACCAATCCTCTAAGCTTTATATGCTTCCGCTTCAATTAATTAAAGCAATCTCTCAGAAAATCTAATACTAGTGTTTGCTATTAATTTTTGGGAATGCGCTTTGGTCCACAAGGAGTGCGTTTCCGGATTCTGGACATCTGCACCAGCACAATTTCATACACACATATGCAGGGTTAATTTCTTGATCTTCGCACTGATACTTTGATGAGGAGTTACAGCAGGCTGAGTGTTGCTTTTGGAGTGATGTGGAAATGTTTTGTGATTACTAAAAACTGGCAAGTTGTTCTATTGTAAAGTCTGGAAGTGCAGGGTTTGAAGTCAAGATGCTAAATCTCAAGGGTGACTGTGTAATAACATATATGTGTGTGCGGATTACTTTAGTGCGTGAAGATACTTCTCATGAATTCATTGTTTTACCTTTACGTTGTTATTCTGTCAAACACTACAATTAGTTGTAGCTAATCTGAGATTTCTGACCTAACTAAACCCATGCTTTCTGTAAAATATCTACCAGAACCAAATATATATCAGATGATTCTTAATGTTTTAAAAGATTTATTGTTTCATAGAATTTTATTGTATGTTTTTATACGGAAAAATATGACTGTAATAGCACTGATGTGTGAGATTTAAAGTTGAACGTTATCACATATTAATGTGCATACACTTTCTGTCATAAACAGGTACATGATTTGAGAAAATTGATAGCTGAGAACGGCCATTTACCAATCGAGAAGTTGAGGATTATATTGGGAGGCAATGTATTGCATGATAGCAAAAGTGGGCACGATGAGTACCTACAACTCAGCGATGGTGGTATTGGTCTTGTCTTAATATTTATCACTTGATTTATATTTTTATCTCCTTATATATATGGTTAAGTAAATGTAAGCTTCACATGAGTTTCTTGCTCGCATTCACCTAGAAATTGTTTGGAGTTTTCACTGTATTTTTGTCCAAACTTTTAGGAATTGTGATTTGGTTGTCAGGAGTGGTTTAATTCCATATTATTGGTAGAATTTACTTTTACAAAACTGCTGACTACTTTGACTTAATCAGCTACCTGAATTACAGATTTTGATGGATCAAGGTTAAATAGTTCTTGATTAAACAAGCAACACATCATTTAAATTTTTCATGGACCTTGCCTTTTTTTTTTTTGTCTTTTGAGCAAGGTTTGTTACCTTGGAATGATAGAGAAAAGCAATTTCTTAGTTAAGATTCCTTGTTTTTTGGCTCATTTGGTGACAAGCTATGGATTTCTTATCATATCTTTGTTTATTGTCAAGATTCCCTTATTGTTGCTGTCAAACCAAAGGCGCCAGTTAAGCATATTAAGGATGGATTTGATGATGACGATGATGATGAAGATCTGGTATGATTGGATCAGTTCTCCTATTGAAAAGAGTTAATGCAATTTTATGTTACTGTGATTCAACTGATGGTATTTCCTTAATTTTTGTATTTCCAGAAGTTTCATCTTCCACAATCATCAAGCCAGTGGAAGAGGACATTGTACAGCTTTCTTCATGATAAGTTGAAGCTTCCTGGTAGGCATCAAGCTGAGTTCTTGTTATCTACCAAAAAGACACAATGTACTGACAGAAAGCTCTTTTGTGTTTCATTGATAGATATCCTTTTGATGGCAATTTTCTCTCTAAGTGTGAAGATGTGGATTATTATCATTATGTGGTTTATTTTGGCACCCGTTGCCCATAGATGGGACATTGGCCCTTTGTATGTAAGTTTTCCTCGTTTCTCTTAGTTTCTGTTGTTTATGAACGCACACACTGTATCTTCTATAAAGTACCTCTTTGTTCTGCCATTCTTTAAGTTCTATTCAAAGCACAGATCACTAAACTGAATTTTTGTGTCATTTATGTTTGTTATTGCTTTATATTTAGATACTGGGCACAGGTTTTGGTATCATCCTTCTGAATCTTGGAAAACGGCAGCCTGGCGATGTCAGGTATGCAGTCTGTGGTGGATATAATCATTTGCTCTTGATCATGTAAATTATGGTTGTAGTGAAAGCTAAATTATTAGAAAAAAACTGCATCATCACTATCAAAAAGAAGGAAGTTACACAGAGATCTGTTTGGAAGGGGTATAAAAAAAAACACAGAAAAGATTTACAACAATTAAATGAACATAGGTTATCTTTCCTTCCATGAGGAACTACCTGAGTACTTCCGAACTTGTGGCATGCTGAGACATGGGAAATTCTTGCAGTGTTTAATGGTATTTGTTGAACATTGCTCATATATTTGTTGAAGACTCCCTTATCATCCTCTTGTAATTTATTGGTCAGCCAAAAATGTCTCAAATATTTCTGGTAGTCCTAGTTATCACTCCTTCCCTTCCTTCCCCACTGTACCCTCGCTCATCTGTGTCGTGGTAGCTTGTATGTCCTTCCATACACACAATAGGTCTTTTTGCATTTTATTACCTCTTAATAAATTTCTCAGTGAACAATGTCAATATCTCAATTAATCTTTCAGGATCTTATTTTGTGGTTTGAAAATTGCAGTGCATATTCTATTTTCAATGAAGACTTTAGAGAGCTTCCTGGGACTCTTAATGCCGAACGTCTTGACGGGGACATACGAACAGGTCAGATGTGAGCCTGGTACTGACCAGTTATGATCATCCATTATATGATGGTCATGTTTTGTGTATCAACAGAATAGCGTTTAAGATTTCATATTAATCCAACAAATGTGCACAGTTTTTTCTTTCTGGTCTTTTGTTCGGTTGATGAGTATATTGTAAGATTACAAGTTTCTTCTGATAAACTAAAGCAGCGATAGCATATTCTTATGTGTATAGTATTGTCCAGAAACACTTGCGAAGTAACAGATGTTTTATGAATGACCGGAGTAATTGAACCCAAATTTTTTATTTTTTGTCTGAATAATACTTAAAAGAAAAGGCCGAAAGGCAAGAAAGGGGGCTGAAAAGTCCAAGACCCCATAGAAACTGAAACAGACGAGAACGCCCCACTCAGGGAAAGGCTAACTGAGAAAGGACGCACCACTCGCTTCACAAAAGGATCATTATTTCTTCTCTATTTTGCAAGCATATTTGTAAATTATTATGTGCACAAATTTGGTGTTTGAATGTACTTACATTGATTAAAACGAACTTAGAAAATTCAAAAAGATCATTATTTTTCAAGGATTTTGTAGCTCAAGTGGTTAAAAGCAGTTATCCCTGCACCTGATGTCTAGAAAGAGGTACTTAATTTTTATTCTACCACCGCACGGATGCTAGTCAGGTGAAAAAAAAAGGAGGTATTTTAGAGTACCTTGGTGATCTATCACGAATTCGATGACAGTCGAACCTAGGACGTGTTGAGCTTTGAATGTAACACAAAGTCAACAAACTAGAAAGCGACTAGCGATAAAATGTCTTACGTTATTATACTTGAATGGATTCTAGTGGTATTAGCGGAAATATTGAGCTTCCGAAAACACAAAAACATGAAGAAAATGTCGATATTGGAATAGAAAATTTGAGAGAATTCATAGAAAGCAATGGAAGTATTAATGAAACTCCATAAGATGTTTGTTTAATCAAGTACTTACGATATTGATCGAAAGAAAAAACTTAATCGGGTAATTGTTGCTTTACAAATCGTTCAATGCATTAATTAGGGGTTTGAACTAATATTGATCCATGCTGTAGTTTTAAATAGAAAAATGGAAATACACTAATTAATTAGAAAATAACAAGTGATTAGCTAAAGATTTTTTTTATTTTTTTCCTCCAACTGACCTCACTAGTGTTCTTATGTAAAATAATATTCAAGGGGTTTTTTCTAATTTACTAATTGAGGGATACAAAGAATTTGTAAAAGTTAAAAGGATCGTTACTTCTTCATGGTTCTCGTGTGCATATTTCTATATGTACAAGCATTTTGCAAATTATTATATACATAATTTGGGGTGTGAAAGGGTCAAAACATAAGAAATTAATCAAAGAAAAATAATTACTTTTCTTTTTCCTTGGTCTAATTATCTCGTGCAAGCTTAAAAAAACAAAAAGAATTATTTACATTAATAATTCCTAAGGTTTTAGGTGATTTCACAAAATTCCCCAATATTTTAAAAATTATACACACCCCACGAGGTTTCAGATTGTCTTCACAAAATCTCTTCTCGTTGATTACTCGTTCAAAAATTGATGATATGCAAATAACAAAATTAACCTTAATAAATATATAAGTTGGTTGAAGATTTTCGTACATTTTTTTTTTTGTCGAATATTTTCGTACAACTTGGTTGAAGATTTTTAATTCTCTACAGGTTAGATAAATTTATATATATATATATATTTCCTTTATTAGTTTATTATTTATTCAATATAATTTTATATGCTTATGTGAAAGAATTTTTTTGATGCCTAATTGAATAAAGAAATTTTTTTGTGTCTTCTAAAAACCCTGGCTCCGCCTGGCAGTCTGTGTGCGCTGTCGGAGAGAGTAATCAAAGTCCGCCATGCCTACCGTCAGCGTGGGACGGGATCGTCTGTTTGAAGCATTAGGAAGAGCTTACAGTGAGCTCTCAGTCTTCCCATTATTTCTCACTCTTCTCTTCATCGCATATTTAAGGAATTATTCACTTTCGTTCGTTTGTGTGTTTGAATTGAATTGAATTGAATAATGTGACAGCTCAGGAAGAGTTTGAAGAAGTATGCTTCAGTTTCGGCATCGAGCTGGACGACGTTGTAAGCAATTTTGCTGCTTTATCTTACATTGTTTTTGTATTTCTTTGATATATATCTTTCTTTGAGATGTTTCTCAAAAATTGTAATGATTAATTAATAATGCTGTGTTTGTAGACAACTGAGAAAGCAATTATTAGAAAAGAAAAGCATTTGGACGATGATGCAGTTGACGAAGATGAAGAAGTTATTTACAAAATCGAAGTTCCCGCAAATAGGTAGGTAGCTTTTGTTATTCGTTTTCTTATTTGCCTGTTTTGATTGAAACTTGATGTTTTATCCTAATCCATTTCATGGGTTAGTTTGAGATTTTGATATCAACATATATAATCCTTGAGTTGAGGCCAAATATTTTAGATAACATACTGCTCTTATTTACTTAAGTGGGTAGGCTCTATTTCAGACTATCAAGGAGTAACTGTAGGAATTAATGACAATAATGACTTGTTGTATGATGTTCACATCACATAATATATAAAGTGTTGAACAAGTTTGTTATTTCATTTATACGCAGGTACGATTTACTTTGCCTTGAAGGGCTGGCTCAAGCGCTCCGTGTTTTCAGTAGGGAAGAGGAGGTTCCTACATACAAGTTGGCCAACATTAGTAAGGAGTCCATGATTAAAATGCATGTAAAACCAGAGGTAGTTATATGATCTATGAAGAGGGGTGGTGTTTTTTATTTTCTGGTTGGTGATACTGTTTAATTCATAGAGGCCCCTTTTTCAACTTGTAGACATCTTCCATTCGCCCTCATGTTGTCTGTGCTGTTTTAAGAGGCGTTACCTTCACTGAAGCAAGTTATAACAGCTTCATTGATCTCCAAGACAAGCTTCATCAAAATATCTGCCGGTAATGTTTTCTGACTCATAGGTCTGATTCTGAATTTAGCTTGGCATGTTCTCGATCGGTTGCTCCGATCTCCTCTGTATTCTGTTGCTCTAAAATATTTCTTTGATAATTTATTTTTATTGCCTTTTTATGTTGTATTGGAGTGGCTTAGTCATACTTCTCTGTGAAAAATTTGGAATCTACATGACCATTTACATTACACTAGATAAAAACGTAAGAATACAAAAGAAATCAGAATAGTTTGTTTAAGTGCTACAAGGGTAAGAATAGCAAGACCAATCAGAATGAATGCATGAAGTTATGATAAGAGCTACTGCTTGTCTTTCTGCCCAAAGATTTCCTGTGGTTTATCAGTTGAAGTGCTTACATATTCTAATCATTTTACAGGCGAAGAACACTAGTTGCCATTGGGACTCATGACTTGGATACATTGCAAGCCCCTTTCACATATGAGGTGGGCTTTTGAAATTTGTTCTCTTTGCTATGGTTTTATATTCTGCAATCTTTTTTTCTTTTTTTTTCTTTTTCTTTTTTTCTTTTTTTTTTGAGGGCTCACATGGTGTTGAATTTTGTACTAATTTATGGTAATAGTTTAGATTCCATGCCAGAATTTTCAGTTCTAGGAATGAAAAGTAGAAACTTCTGTCTTAGCCGAAGATCCCCTGATATTAACACGAGTTTCAGTGAAAGAACTTTTCATGTTTTTCTTTGATTGCTAAATTCTACTTCATGTATCTAAGATGGCAATACTACGTACTGTTGACTTACATTTTTCTTTCCACGTTCAGGCTTTGCCACCTTCAAGTATAAATTTTGTGCCTCTGAAACAGGTACTTTTATAAGTTTTTTACTATTCTCAATTTAGTAGTTTATATGACTATGATTTTCTAATCTCTCTCTCTCTCTCTCTCTCTCTCTCTCTCTCTCTCTCTCTCTAATAGTTTGAAAATGGTTATTGTTAGCACTAATATCATGTTGTTTTGATTTCTATATTAGGCGAAGAACTTCAGAGCTGATGAGCTCATGGAATTTTACAGAGTGAGTTCTTAACTGGATGCTTTTTAATCTGTCTTTGTTTCCACCTTTTTCTTTCTTTTTCCCCTTTCTGGAAGTGTTATAGTTAGTCTAGACCAAACTAGAATAGGCATTTTAGAAATCATTGCAATAATAGCTATTTCATGCACATCCTTGTTCAGAATCTCCTGTTTTATATGCCCTAGTAATCATGACTCGTGAATGACATTAGGAAAGTAAAGTATCTTGATCCATATTTTACCACTGTATTCTTGCAGTCGGATCTGAAACTGAAGAAGTTTTTGCACATTATAGAGAACTCACCAGTGTTTCCTGTTTTATATGATAATAACAGGTATGATAATTTCTTTCTCATTCATTCATTATTATGGTCATTTCTAATCACCTTTGATCAACCTCCGCTTTTCCTTCTATTGTTAAGAGGTTAAGTTCATAATACTGTTTCGAATGTGTAATATAGTCTTGTTGACTCTATATAGATATATGGCTTAGCATTCTTTTTAAATCTTGATGAGTGATGTTAAGTTCATTTTGGCAGAACTGTTTTATCTTTACCCCCCATTATTAATGGTGCACATTCAGCAATCACTTTGAAGACGAAGAATGTTTTCATAGAATGTACAGCTACTGATCTAACAAAGGCCAAGATTGTTCTGAACACAATAGTAAGAAGCTGAAAGTTTATGATGCATTTATTTGATAGTTTTGGTTCCCACTTATTAGTGAATGATGGCATCAATTTATTTTCTTTTAGGTGACAGCGTTTTCAGCATATTGTGAAAGAAAGTTTGAGATTGAACCTGTTGAAGTGGTATATTCTGATGGAAAGTCATATATCTATCCTGATTTATCAATCTACAACATGGATGTTTCTCTACCATATGTTAATGGTACAATTGGAGTCTCTTTGGAAGCGGAAGAGGTATCTCAATAACTGCATTTTATCTATTCCTGCTTTATTCTTTAATGTTGCTTACTGATGTCTGCAATAAGGTTATTATTTGCTTAGTGC